CCCCCTACCGATGCAATGCCTTCGTCCATGATTTTGCCTGCCATCGTTGAGTGTTGCAATGGAAGACAGCGACAATAAGGGCGAAATTTCTGCGCTCGGCAGAAGAATGACAAGACAGAGACCTTGAGACACTGCGTGGCAGCGGCAGAGGCGGACAAACGAAGGATTGCATTTCGCTCAAGTAAATATTTGCACATGTAATTGTATTTATACGATTCATATGCACTCATGTGTGTCTGTGTAACCTGTATTCTTTGGGTCTAGAGTCTCAACATGTCTGTATACACTCAGTGCTGTCTACTCAAGTGAATGCGGCTTTCGCTGCCTCAAAAAAGCACCTTGCGGAACACAGAAGCAGCTGGCTACTGGCAAAGATTTTTTGCACGCTGTGCCATCACGATGCTTGCTGTGGCGGGACTGCACAGCTACCGCCGGAAAGACTTACACATTCAGGCCGAGGGTTTCGTTTGCCGCCCACAGGTCCTGCGTCACATCCTCCAGCATGCCCTCAAGGTCACGCACCCGGCGCCGCAAAGTGCTCTTGTGAGTGGAAGAGGAGCTGGAGCTGGAGCATGAGGAGCTCGAATTGACCGGGGCATCGACATCCATGGCCTCCTCTCCTGGGTTGGTTTGGTTCATGTTCTCGGGCCCGTCATTGTCAGGCATCGCCTCATCCAAGATGTTGTGGTCGATATCCTCGGGGATGTGCCCGTCGATGCCATTGCAAGAGATGGAGGGAAGGCCGGCGGGGACCGGATCATCCAAGTTGGTGTTCTCTATGGCCAAAGTGTCGCCGAACTGGGTGTCATCATCNNCTGCTTGTCCTTGATGGCTAACACCTCGTCGGCATCCTTGATGGCCTTGGCGTGGTTCCCTTTGGCGTAGGGCTTTTTGCTGGAGGCCAAAAGGCGAAGAAGCCTCAAGTCAGCTTCTACGCTCCAGCCACCGCCTGCACCAACTTTCAAAGAGAGAGCGCGTTGGATGTTGTTCAAGGTGACTTGCATCGTCCTTTTCGTCATGGGCTCGCGAGTGGGATGGATTTCGGCCTTCCCATCCCTGATGGCCTGGTAGATCTCGTCATCGCAACGGGTGTTCGAGGTCGGCCAGGGAACCCTTGTTGTTGTCGGTGTAGCCGGAGGGGGTCTCGTGCAATTGGTCGGCACTAGGCGGAGATTGGCGGCACCGTCCTCGAACGACACGACTCCGGAGACGAGCACACCGGCCATGAGGAAAAGACAGAGTGCGAGGATACAGGGGCGTTGAGAATCGCGAAGGCTGCGAGGCAGGAGGACACGTTTATCATGGGCAAGGCAAGCGCATGGAAGCTCCTTCAGGAGTATTGAAGTTCAATGCCGAGCATTGAACTTCAATACTCCCCCAGATCCAAGATTCAAGATTCAAGATTCCAGGAAAAAGTTTTCCCAGGATCTTGAATCTTGAATCTTGGATCC